AGTTGCAAACGCACTTGCTCGCCAAGGCACACGCGCCACAAAGTCTGCCTTCTCTGCCGCAAATGATTGGCTGGCTGCGAAACTCTAGTCGCCGTCCGGGCCCTGCAGGGAAGGCGACGCTACCCAACGCAGCTGGCCGTGAGGTGGCGCCAACTCGCATTGCCTTGGATGTGTCTGTTTTTGCTGCGTCCAAGAGTGGTGTCGGCAGCTGAAGTCTTTGTGCCCTACACATGTCAAGGCATGCTTGCAGCGCTGAAGCGCTTCGCTGAGAAAAACGTGAACCTTGTTGTGGATGCAAAAATGAAGGTTTTAGAGGGCGGCGCCACTCTTAGGTTGCTGGCAAAGGATGGGTTGCGAAGCGCAGATGTCAGCGCTTCTGCAGGCCGCGTGCAAGGCAAAGCCTTCACAACCCGCGCCGTGCCTTTTGTCCAAGCGACAATGCATCAAGAGACCGCTGCAAACTACCTTCGGCTTGTCGCCGTTGCTGAAGCGTTGTGGGCCCAATCTTGCCCTGAGCGCTCTGAAGTATAAGCTTAGATCATTCCAAAGCCCTTGCCCTCAGCCTCAGGAGGTGTCTTGCCGTCTGCCCACCAAAGAAACCACGCCCAACAATCCTGGTACAGGGCTTGCATTGTTTGCAAGCTTGTGACGACGTTGCCTTTGCCTCCAAGCGCTGTCAGCTGGCGTTGCCAGAAGAGTGCAGCGACTAAACGCGGCAAAGTTGCACTTCCCCCAAGCCGGATGTTCTTGTGCGATGGCAGCGGGGACAGGCGCAGTGTATTGGGCTTGCAACCAGGCACGCGCCACGTCCTCCTCCTCTGCGTGCAAACGAGAGAGCAGACCGCCCCACACCTCAGAGAAAATAGGCAACGTTGGGGCCAGACGCACGTTGTCCAGGCATGCCATGAGCCAGCCGGCGTGCTTTTTGAAGTACTCGCAACTCCTTGCGATTCCGCTTAAAGTGGAACCAGTCGTCTAAAGGCCTGCTATTAGGAAACGCGTCTCTGCGAGCCGCTTCAATGGCTGGGGCAGGGTCTTTGTGCAGTTGCCGGACGCAATGCTTGAGAGTCAGCCACGGTCAGGACCTCAGTGTGGTACCTGTAGACCTGCGCAGCCAGCCAGCTCTTCTTACAGACCACACACCTGGTCTGCCAAGGCAGCCTGCTTAGCCAGACCTTTGTGGTTTTGCCACTCTCCTGGCCTTACTGGCAAGGAAGGCAACAAAGCAAAGAAACTAAGCAAACAACAAACCAAAAGCTTAAAGCTGAGAAAAAGTACTGGAAGTCCCAGGCTGAGGCGCAATTAGCACAGAAGATCTCAGGTTCCTCCCACTGCACCCGGCTGAAGGTGAGCATGCTCTTAGCTCAGCAAAGAACGCCTTAGGACCAGAAGCCTCTTGGAGCAGCCTTGGCAGGTGGAGGAGGCGCCTGAGCATACATGGCTGGCTGAGAGCAAGAAAAATCATGGGAGCACTGAGCAAGCAAATGGCTGCAGGTCTCAGAAAAATCAAACTAAGAACCTCTCAGTAAAGTCCTTCAAGCAGAAACCCAACCCTCTCAGAAAAACCCTTCCAAAAGAAAACGTCTCAGAAAACCCTTTCAAACAGAAACCCCTCCCAGGAAAACCCTTCAAAGCAAGAAGCCCTCTCCAAGACACCCTTCAACTCAGCAAAGCCCTTCAAATTAAGAACCTCTCAGGGCAACCTCCCAAAAACCCTCTCAGCCCTTTTCCCCCTCCCCCTGTACTGCAGCACAGTGGCTCTGAGCAGTGATGCCACTGAGCAAAAGGAAGCTCAGGAAGCACACGGTCTGGAGGTGCTGGTTCATGGCCTGGGCTGAGGGTTTATTGAGCTAAGCAAATTAAGATTTGCAAATGCAGCTAAGCCGCTCAGCCAGCAAGTACAGGCTGGAGCTAAGCAGAAGCAAGAGCAAGAAAATGGCTAAGGGGACAGCTCAGCTCAACCACTTGCAAGTCTAAATGAAGCACTGGGAATCTGAGGGTCAGCCTTGGCAATACTAAAGTCGAATTGGCAATGCTAAAGTAAGTACTGTCCCTCCCAGACCTCCAGGATCTCGCTTACAGAGGGTCCAACTGATTCCACTCCTAGCGGGGGGGGTCCAACATTATATGAATCCCCATTCTTGCAGTGCTGGTTTGAACCCTAGGGATGCTATGAGTTTGTGTTGCAAGCTGTTTACCAGCTCTCAGCAGCCACGGGTGAGGCGCAGCTGGATGCTGAGCAGGCGCAGAAGCTCTTAGAAGAGGCGCGCGCGAAAGTGACACATGGCATTCAACAGGCACCTGAGTTGAATTCCGTGGTTCTGCAGTACCCGTTTGGCGGGGACCCCACTGAAGATAGTCAAAACCCCCAAAATACCTCCCCGCCTCCTCCTCTTTTCTACGAGGGCCACGGGGCAGATGAGTGCCAGTTCTCGTCAGCGGGTGTTTTTTTGGGAGGGTTCATGTTTTTTTTTGTTTCTCAGCAGAAGAAGACACAGCCATTTCATGTTGCCACTTGGCTCAGTCCCAGCTTTTCAGGTCATGGCTCTGGCGCACGAAGACATAGAGGTTGGAGCTGGGGGTTGGAGTTGGAGCTTCCCCCGCTCCGAGCCCAAGCATCTGGAGTTCCTGGACTTGATGTTTTTGAGGAGGCTATTTTATGGGCGAACAGAAGGCTTTGACTTTGTTAGGAATCCACTATCCGAGTTTGGGCTGTAAGTGGGTGTGGGTGTGGGTGTGTGTGTGTGTGTGAGTGTGTGTGTGTGTTTGTTTTTGGCAGGTGGTTGGCCCAGTCCAGCTTATCCTGGGACGTGTTTCCATCAAATCCCAGGGGTGCGAGTCTTAAAGAATGCCGTCAGCAGAATACTTAAGCATGTGTGAGGAATGTGTCGGGGCAGGATCCGAAAGCTTTTCACACAAAATGTGGAAACGACTGTTGCTGGGTTCCATGTTACTCAGGACTCTTTGCCCTCGAAAGGGACTGGGCTCCACTGCAGAGGTCAGACAGGATCCGGGCCAAGCACATCGCCAGCCTTGTACAAAGAGCAGTTTCCAATCTGTTCACATTGAAGTAAACAATGCTATGAGCTTCGGCACTTACAAGTGAAGAAACATTCTATGTTTGTGTGTGTGTGTGAAGAAAGTATCGCTCAAAATCATGTGCCAGACTTCCAGAGAGTGATTCGTCCACTGCTCCCAGCGTGGGGGTTCGTTTGTGCGACGTTAAAATATTTATGCACGCGCCGAAATTCGTTTTGATGGCTAGTCGAACATGAGGCGTTGGTGACGGATCACCTCAATGGATGAAAACCCCAAAGGTAGAACATCAGTTTGTTTCTCCTTTGGAGCAACTTTGTCTCATGCCCAGGCAGTTCATGACAGGAACTTCTGGTCGCTCATGCTGTCTGCATGCTGAATTTGTTGGTGGCTCTGCGCCGCTTGGCGCTGGCCTGCCTTGGCCATGGGCAAGTTACTGACGCGCCGGGCACAAGGAAAATCCCACTTTCAAGCGACCTTAGGACTTTGCCACGCCGAATTGATAGTAAGGATACGCCATTTAGTTATGTAAGTTATGTATGTTATGTCTTAAACCGCCAAGACTGTGGGAAAGCAAAGGTAAGCCGACACAGCCATTTAGTTATGCATGTTATGTCTTAAACCGCCAAGACTGTGGTTGTTGCTGTGATTTCCCCTTTAAACGCACCCCAGAACCCTTCAAAACAGACACACCCATTTGATCAGAACGTTCGGGTATTGGGCAGATCCGATCGCCAGGACGGCAAAGGTGGCTCCCAGGCGGGGCCATGATGATGGTCGCTTTGAGATTCTGATTGGGGAAATGTTTGGACATTGGCCCAGTTTCCAGTTGCCTGAAATCTCTGCAAAATGACTCTTCCACTTGGACGGATCAACCGGGACTGATTTTGAGTATCCATGCGACATCCTTTAAGGTGGGGAGGTACACTTCATATTGGGCTGTTTTCCAGACGCCAGAAAGAACGCTGAACCTTTGCTGCGCTGGCCCTACAGAACAGACCAAGGTCGCTTGGTGGCAGGTTTTCACCAAGTGTATTGAACTGCAAAGCGCTATCGGGGGCGAGCTTGCGGTCAAACCAAACTTCAAGAACTGGAAGCCTGGCAACTGGCTTGTCTTTTCCCTTCTTCAAATTCCTGATGTGGTGGCACAATTGGGGGCCCTCTCCATCCCAGCCGAACGACAGATTTCTTGCGGGGATTGAAGCGTGGGGGCCGATTGGGCACAAGTCGTTGTCTCGACATGCCCGCATAATAATTTGAAAGCCCTTGCGGCAGCTCCAAGATGGCTCTGGCTAAATAAAGGTAGACGGTTGGCTAGAGCTCCAAACTGGTTGGTTTACCCTTGTTCCTTTCAACCCACCAGAAACGACCCTATTGTGTCAGGTGGGCAAAAGGAAAGGCCATGGAAACCAACCTGCTGCTGGCATCAGCCATGCCGAGAGGTCCATGAACGCCTGGCGGTCGCGGATGCACGGGCCCGAGAACACGTTCCTGTCAGGTCAGTCAGGCTTGAACATCGCTGGGAAGTGCGATGGTTTCAGTTGGGTTCCGGGTTGGCCATGGCTTGCAGAACCTATGGCGATCCCATTTTGGGGTGGAACATCCATGTGCCACCTTTGATGTGCCCCAGGGCATGTTGGGGCTTCAGTTTCGCAAGGGCCTTGTCCGGCCTGAGATAGATCGAGAAGGGCCAGCTCCAAGACCGTGGGGAAAAGACGGGGGTATTGGGTCACAAGAAGCGGTGAAAAGCGGAGAGTCTAGAGTCACCAAGCTAAGGTCTGTGTGATCTAAGCTTCCATTCTGTCCAAAGCCTTTGCTGTTGCGCAAAAGCTTGAGAAGCCTGAACCTGAAGAAAAACAAGTGACTGTGACTTTGCCTTTGTCTTTGAGCATGTGTGTTGTTGACCAGATTTGCTTGTATCTTCACATTTGTTTAGCGATCTCACGGGTAAAACGAGCTCACCCATGAAGGTTCCTTGTGGGCATTCCTTGTTTCCAGTTTGCGCATTATGGAAAGTTTGCCCATATGGTGGCGGGGGGGCAGGGTACCGTTTCTTCCCCATGGAAATCCACTGGAGGTCATGTCTTTGCCTCTTTCTTATTCGCTGCTGGCCGTCAAAACCCAAGAAATTGGCAACTTAGTAAGCTGGTCTACCTGATGTAACCGCACTATAGTTGTTCCTATGAAAAGCTGTTCAACAGGTGTTTGTTACTACTTGTTGGCAGTTTTCGAGGTTGGATCCAAGTCAGTCTCTATTTGGGCCTGCCGTTTGGGGCTACCTTTGCTATTGCCACAATCAGGGGGCCAGCTGAAGCCGACCTGAAAGGGTTCAATGGCTTTGTTGTGAGGCAAAACTGCAAAGATGATGTAAGTATCATAAATAATGCGCCACAATATCATCCCAGGTTCAGCGCAGCCTGGCGCGACTGGACCTGGCCACCGCCAGGGCCAAGGCAATGAGAAAGCCAAAGGGGCAGTTCTCCTTTTCGGTTTTCCAAAACACACAAAACGACGAGGCACCCGTTTGGATGTGCCTTAAAAAGGGGAACACCAAACAACTGGACCCCAAGGCAGACCACGAAAGCGGAACGGGTCCAAGGGGGCCTGAGGTGAATTGAGTTTAAGTCTGGGGAAGTCAAAACATGTACCTAGTGTAGTTGGCGCTATATTGACGCCAAGATTGCTGTGGCTCAACCAATGGAGACCAAAATGGCACCTTGGTAAATGCCACCAAAGACTAAAACTCTTTAATGTTGAGCTACACCCGTATGGCCGTGGGTCAAAACCAATCATTTTGGGGTCTATTTTAGTGGGGATTGGGATGTTCACTGGGGGTACGATTTGGATTTTGACCCATGGCCATATGAGCCTTACCCCTTAGACCCTAAAAGTCCGCCCGTTTTTTTGTTTCCCCCGAATCGCTTCGCAGGCCGCCGCCTTTGCTGACTGCGTCCCTCAGACCTGGCAAGAGCCGGAGGCATGCACGGTTCACCCCCGTTCGGAGGTTCTCGTGGTTCCCGTCTCGAAGGCAAACATCATGGTTGTTGTTGGGAAACATTTTACATTTGGTTTGTTGCGGTTTAGTGGTTGAAATCCAACCACTCAACTGCTTAAATTCAAATTGTTGCTCCCCTTCCATCGTCAACCAAGACATGAGGACCACCAAGTCACTACGGTTGGACCCCAGATGAATCACCCCCTTGGTGATGGGTTGGGGGGTGGTCCCCTTCTTAAACTAAAGACTTATCACTTGTGGAGAGACCACCCCCGGGAATGATAGGACAGGTTCATTCATCCGGGGTCAACATTAGCCCCTGCAGCTTTGGATGCTTTAGACAAACTGTAAGCAAGAAGCAGAGCTGCCCTCGATGTTTGTTGAGTCGCTCGGACTGATCCGTTTGACCATCTGAAATGCCGTTAGTGCTTACATTCAAGATACCCAAGACGTCCCAAGGCTTGACTTGACCTCCCGAATGACTGCACATGGAATGCGATGAACTGCTGACAGAAGTTGCATCCCGTTCAGGAACTTTTAACCAGTTGTTGCGAGTGACTCGCACTTGCGCAATTATCTCAGCACTGAGTATAGGAAAAGTGCGGCATGATCTATATTTGATAGTCGGGGCATTGCCCAGCTGTGACAGTTGTGGCTATTTGCAGAGCAATTGTTCAAGAATGACCTGGAATGATCTGAGACTCTCGGCTCTTGGCTTTCGTCGCCTTTCATCTTGTGTCCATGGAACCTCCCCCACCTCCACCCCAGGCCCCCGGTACACCCAGCCACCCCCCAGCCATCCCCACCCTCCCCAGCCACTGGGTCACCGCACGCGCTCGACTTCGAAGGCCGCCAGCCCGGCCGCCGCCACGCTGGCGCTGGCGCTGAGCCGCGCCGCCGCCGCCAAGGCCGCGGAGCGCCTCCTCTGCCGCACCGAGGCGCGGTCCGGGCGCCGTGTGGGGCGGGGTGGGGTGGGGTGGGGGGGGGGCACCAAATGGGGCCTGGTGCAAATGGGGTTGTCTATTTTTTTTTTTCCCGGGGGGGGGGGGGGGAACCTGGCCAAACTGGTGGTTTTCCGCTGGGATTTTGGGGACTCCGCAAAATGAAGCGCCAAACGGTTGTCGAAAACGCTTCATTTCCCTTCAAAACCTACCACAAAACGGGGTACCTATCACAAAAGGAGGTACCAATTCAAACAAAAGACAGCCCAAGTGGATCTGGAACAGAATGGATCTGGTGGCTCAAAACAGGGAGACCAACATGGTATGGCAAATGTAACCCCAAACTACTTGCGGTTTGCCATTGCTCTTGAATTTTGAGCCACCCCCAGTGGGTCTGACGCATAGGTGCCCTTTTGTTGGTTGTTCAGGTGAAAATAGATTGCGATTCCTGGTTGACCTGGTGTCATATTCTTGGGATCAATTTGTTTCCCAAAAGGACACCTATGGTCTGGAGTTGGTACCCCGGTTGTAAAGGACAGCCAAAAGGAAAACCGTTTGGCCATTTTGGGGGGTCCCCGCAAAAAAAGAAAGACACCCAAATCCTTCTGAATCAACTTCTTGGAGAAGGAAACCTCCCTTTGAAGCAACTACACAACAAAGAAAGGTGCCCGATTTTTTGCCGTCGCTGTGGTCTGGGAAACCAATGCTTGACCATGCTTCAATCCGTCCTGTTTGTCTTCTCGTTTCTTTGTCCTTTCAGTTGTCCAATTGTCCGATCTGTTCAGAATGTAGTCAATATGTTTTCCAAACGTTCCAATTTGTACACCATTGTTCCATTCTGCTCATTCCAGGTTTGATGCTTTAGCTTCTGTGATGCCAGGAAAGCGCTACTTTCGTTGAATTGCTGGAATGAGGACATGTTTTTGTTGTTTTTTTTACACATGTTGTTTTATTTGAGGTGATCGGGGATCAAAAGCACGTTGCATTGCGATTGAAGGGGGGTGGTCACAAGGGCTTTGCGCGTAAGGCAAACATGTAGCGGTGTAAGGCCGCGAAAGTGTGTTACACGGATGTGGGTGGCGTGGCTGATTGCGTAAGCTACCTTTGTTCTCGCGTAAGCTCGCCTAAGCACCTTGATAGGTAGGATTTATGTTCCCACGTCAGATTCCATGGGAGTTTTGACCAGCTACATTCCAGTTCAGGTGTTGGTCCCAACGTCCCATTCCTTTGGATTTTTTGCAACAATGTGTCCCATTCCTGGTTGGACTCAATTGTCCTCATTTCCAAGTCCAGCGGTTTATCCCCCTTGCCATACGTTGGTGTTTCTGGGCCCATTTCTGGATTATGTACCATTTGTACAATTTCCAAGTTCGATTGTCATCTCAATTTCTCAGTCTAGGTTGGCCTTTTGCATTGTGTCCCATTCCAAGTCGCGGATGTTGCGTGAACCTTGGAGCGATGGCAGAGCACTGCAGTGGATCGAGGTCGTTGGTCACACGAGGGCGGACAAGTGAGACATTTGTTCGTACTCGTTAAGTACTATCCACTCGTGTTTGAGTGATTGCGGCCATGGGGTATATGTTGACCTTCAACCGGGGAAGACCATGGGCCAGTAGATCACGCAAAAGAAACCGTATGAAATGGACAGAGAAGCTGGCATAGAATTGCCAAAGATTACACTACCCAACTGACAAAAGGCCACGAGGTGTGTATGTTGATACTGGGGGGGAGGGATTGTCTTTCTCCTTTCAAACACTGGAAAGTCTCTCCTCGTGCGAGTGGCTTGCCACAGTTGGCCAAGTTAGATATTGCTGGTGCCAGGTCGGTATTCGTGAGATGGCTATGATTTTCAATAATGGACAAAAGCCTCAAGAACATTTTATTTGACATAAACCACTATGTAAAGAGTCCCCCAAATAAACTCATAGGTCAATGGGGAAATGGAAGCAAGCGGCATTCTTCTTTCTCGAGTCAGGGCAATCACTTGCATGTTGTAAACTCTATGGGAAGTCGCTATAGTTTGTCATTGCTTGTTGTCATCCGCCACAAGAATTCACATACCAAGCTGGGTGGTTTCCCTTTGGTTTCCCTTTAAGCCAACTTGCAAAAAAGGATATCCTCAATAGAAGACACACCCATCATGTTGCTCTGCTCTCTTTACGTTTCGTTTTCTTTGTCTGCCAGGCACTTGGGCGACAAGCAAGCATCTCGCTGCGCGCGGACATGTGCGAGGCATCCGGGAAAGCTGCCGCAATTTGGATGTTGCTTGAAGACCCTTGGTTGATGAGAGCCCAGGATTTACTCTGCCTACATTATGCGAGCTCGGTTCGGGGGTCAAACCAGACTACCATGATGTAGGTTCTTACTTGGGAATCCCTCCTTTTAACAATTTTGGATTTGTTGTATACGTTGCAGTTTGACTAACACCTGATCAGAGGTGTCCCTTCAAGCTGTTGGAATAGTGAGATGACCGAACACGGCGGACTGCGGGTGACCGGGTGTGGCAGGAGACCTCCCGTCTCTTTCGAGTCGGCTAGTTAAGGAAATGTCCAATTCGGGTTGAAAACGGATACATCACTCTCGTAGAGGTTAGACAAGGGATGCTCCAAGGTTTGAAACAGGGCTTCTAAGAGTTCAGCACGCCAAGACGTACGCCCAGGATTCACATTGGGGACGGTATAAGGAAGGGGGGATTAGTTGAGGCTAGTCGCACGCTCTGCCACCTGAGGCTGCCTTACACATCCGAGGCTGCCTTACACATCCGATTTGCATTGCGCAACAGCGATCTATGATTGCTGCATGATGGATTCCAGCCGAGGGGCACGCGTTAAATCGTAAAGCTGAACAGACAAAGAGCAAGGCTGCAACAAGGAGACATTCCGGCTGCACAGCGGCGTAAGGTTGCACATTCTGACATGGTTTGTCCAGGGAGTTATGTAACTTATGCATGTGGATGCAAGTGTGTCTTCTCGGTTCATTACAGACAGACATCAACTGGCACCCCAACTAGCTTCTTTACCCGGCTGGGGCAACTCCCGTTGCTAGCACAGGACACGTACGGCGGCTGTTTTTTGTTCCCCCGAACCTGCGTTGCCTTCCAGCCTGCTGGGTGAAAGTATCATCATTTTTTCTGTGAGGTTGGGCAGAGGCTTGCTGAATGTGGGTTTTGGAAGAAAGCAGCCCGGAGGACACATCCGCAAAACGCACCCAGATAGGACTGGCATGCTTCGAAAACAAGTCTACCGTGCCCAAAGCCACGGCAGCAGGTCGCCTCGTGTGCTTTCCGGGCGGCCGCGGCTTTGGCGTCGGCGGTGGATGCTGGAGAGGGGGTGGGAGTTTTGTCGAGATCATATTGAATCCAGGTGCTGAATGGCACCCTTGCTTGGTTTGCCCACCAAACATTGCCAGCTGACAAAGGGCTCTCTTTTTCTGGCAGGGTCACCGAGCAACTGTATGACAGTTTTTGCTTTGAAGGGTGACACGAAATGATGTGTTGATTTCCAGATGTGTCAAGGATTCAAATATGACTGTGCCATGACGTTTGCGTTCCTTTCCTCTTTCCTTGGCCTTAGGGGAGAAGAGGGAGGAGGGGGCGGGGGAGGCAGAGCGAGAGGGAGAGGGAGAGGGAGGGAGCGGGAGTGGGAGTGGGAGTGGGAGTGGGAGCGGGAGGGGGAAGCCCCCGTTAGCGACACGTGCAATTCAAGCAGTGGCAAGTGGAAACTGCATTTCCCAAGCATGTGAGATTTGGCATGCAATGATTGGATCGATTAGCTCAAAGATAGCTTTGTTCGAAACTGCGTAAAGTAAACCTGAAGGCCAGATGGTGTTTACTTCCTTACAAACACATTGCATAAACAGCGTTGCATAGCATCAGCTCTACATCTTCCCAGTCCAAGTTCTCATTCACACAGTGCCGCACAAAGTGTTCAGCGGACCCCGAAGTCCTGAGCTTCAACATTGCGGCTGCGATTTGAACTCTCGAGCAAGCGTTTTGCTTGCACTTGGCTGACAAGGCTTAGGCTTTTGGACTTAGGGTTCAAACCCTAAACCCTAAACCCCGCATTAGAAGCCCTTATGATGCAGCCAGGAAAAACATGAACCTCTTTGTGCATGCTAAGGTGACTCTGTTGCCACGGGAACTCAGCCGCAGATCAGACATCCAGCATCCATTCAATCCACGCAATCTATTCAGCTTTCTCAATCCCTGAGTTTAAGCTCCTTGAATTTGGACAATTTTCGTGGGAAACGTCTCAATCCCTGAGTTGCTGGACTTTGAACTTTTTGAATTTGGACAATTGTCGTGGTAAACGAACAGTTTGGTTACTGTTTTTGGCAAATCCACTCACAAAGTGAGCTTTACCGGCAGTTGATGCCGGCGGTTTTTGTTGTTTTTTTCCCGATCCAGGAGGGACATTTTCCCATACCTTGAGATTCTGTTCAACTGCAATCCGCGAGGTCCTTCCCTTACCCTCCCACCTATTCACATGGAACCTGACCCAGGAACCCCCCCCCCTGTCAGGTTCCATGTTAATTGGTTCCGCGAGGTCCTTCCCTTACCCTCCCACCTATTCACATGGAACCTGACCCAGGAACCCCCCCTGTCAGGTTCCATGTTAATTGGTGGGTAGCTTAATGTAGCTTATAAAGTTGTACAGGTGCTGTGTTTTACTAGGTGAGATTCACAGGATTGGCCCGCAAATTTTGAAGCAGAGTATTTTCAATTTCACAGCCCCCTCTCCATTTCGACAAAGGGACCCAAACCTGGCCGGGACATCCTCCATGACAAGAGTAGGGAGGTGACCCGAAAAGGTAGTTGTCCTTTGGTTTCCTTTCAGAGGTGAAAAGGAGCCTTTGAAACACACACACACACATCACAACACACCCTGTTCGACGCCCGGTGAGATGGTTGGCGGACATGGCGTGCTGTCTCAGGACTCCAGCACGGAGAGGTGACCATGGAAGCCGCCAGCAAGCTGGAGGCGAGCGCTTTGCGTCTTTTCGTCTTTTCGTCTTTGCCAAACGCGGGTTCCATCCGAGATGGGCGTTGCTTTTGGGGCGTTTGTTGGGTTCCAGTGAAGTTGCTTTCGCAACTGTAGAGGAGTTTTCTTTTGAAGGCCGCCCTTTCTTGGTGGGTTCATGTCAATTTGAGGGGGAGTATGGGCTGTCCACTTTGTACACCTGCCCAAAATATGTGTCATTCTGCTCGGCGAAGTGCTGGCTGCCCTGTCAAGATGGATGGATGTATTTGTCTCCAGGGCTGCCAAATCACCACGTAAAACCGACAGTCCCTGCAAGCACTAGGTTTTGATTCACGGCATTCATTCTCCGGCTGTCTCGACACGCTTCTCCAGGCATTGCTCGAAAACTACGGATCCCTTCCCCTGCATCGCTAAAGATTCGTTGCATCCCCACCCGCAATACCTGTATGGAGGGGGGGGGTACCTCCAAGGATTCAAGGCAATCATTTTTCAGGAATGGTACACAGGCCACGTGTTTGCCCTTGTCCAGCGGAGTCGGGCCTCCAACACCGCGCAAGGGGCGCTTTGGCGACAAGCCCACGATTTCACACACGCGCACACACACACACACACACACGTGGGCGCTTTGGGCATACACGGGAGGGGTACAAGAGGAAGCCATCCAGATCTTGGAACAAGCCCCGGATTTAATGTTCAAAGAGCCCTTCGCTTCCAAGTACCTGTCTTCCATTTGCCTAGGTCCCCCAGTAGTGCCCTGTTACCCTTTTTTGGGGGGAGGGTTCTTTGACAAAAATAGGCTACAGAAAAAAGTTGCTACCCTTATTCTAACCTCTCTAGAGGACCTTGCTGAAATGGATATGTTTGAGTTTCCCCTGTTGGGTTTCAACCGGAAATCCATCACTACAACCGCAAGAAGGGCTGCGACTTTGGGCTCGTTGGGCCCGCAGATTCCCCCGCCAGGCCCAGTGCAAGCAGGTGGAATCGAAGCTCAAGGAGCTGATGAAGAAGTGGTTTCGCCCTGAGCCAGGAATTGGGGGCCGTGGGTGTCAGTCTCATAGAACATCCCAAATGTTTTTTTTTTTTTTCTGGTTTCGCAATCTAAGCTTCAACCAGCTGTCCATTGTTGAACAACTTAAGTTGGAACAGTGCCAACAACTGACCCCTACCTCGAGAAAACATGGTCACCTTCAACAACTTAAGGGCTCATCTTCTCCCAGCACAGCGAGGGGTTATTCCGGCTTGCGTGAAGGGAAGTGACCAACGGATTGGCTGAGAGACAACATCGTTTAGATGTCACGAAGCGATCGGCTGAAAGATTGCGCAGAGAGATATCAGCAAGACATCGCCCGAGAGATTGCGAAGCGCTGGCTGAGAGGGAGCGATTGCTCCCCATTCTACCTGCTGTTTCTGCCATCATTGTGCGCCTCACGCATTTTTTAAAGGCCACCCTGTAAATTCAGATCAGCTTGACAAGCCAGCAAGGAACAAGCCGGTTGGAGCAGTCCCCTTTGTTTGACAGCCATTTTGCCAATGAACACTTCAGTCAACCAGCTATTTGCATCGGGGCCCATGGTTTTTTGGATGTGTTGTGCTTGCCATCCTGATTGCTTCAAAAGCCTTGGGGCAGGGGGTCGCATGCCACGCATGCGGAGCCTCCAAAGCAACACGCATACTTTGTGAAGTGCTCGGAACCCCTGAGTTGACATCCAAAAAGCAAAGACAACCCCCAGGGAAAAGTCGGTGTAAGTCAGGTTCCCGGACAAATCAGAGCCAGTCCAAAGCCACGAGTGTTACGACCTCGACCCACATGCCATCGGAGACGGCGTTGTATTGAGGCCTTTGGAGGCGCCCAGTCAGGCAGGGCCATTGGGCGCAGGAGGCTCTATTGCTGCCTCTTTTGTCTCCCTTTTCTGGATCAATTACCCCCAAGCAGAAGCAGACAAGCAGAGATAGGCGGAGGTTGATGGAAGGCAGAAAGCTGTGGTCATTGCGTGGTTCTATGCATGGCAAACGCGTTGCTTGGCTGCTACTTTCTGCGATGCCAAGGGAATCCCTCTCAAAGGGATCAAATGGTCATGGGGATCAGAATCAACGGTGGACAGGTGGACAGGATCCAAGTACTCTTTCAGGAAGGTGTAGGGGATAAACATGGGTCAAAGTTCCTTAAAAGGTACTTGGATTCTGATAAAAGAAAAGGGGGAAGTTTCCACAGCCCTGCCAGGCGTTGACCGTGTTGCAGGAGGTTGAATCCTTGGCGGAGGCAACTGGTTTCGACGAGCCTTGACATGCGCATCAGATTTCGGGTCTTGAAGCCGCAGTGTCGTTGTCTTGAATGGAACAAGAGGATAGCAGCTTCTGCTTGACAGGACAAATCATGGACGGCACGTCAGGTAAATGTGTGGTTTGTGGCGTTTTCGAGTTTCAGTTTTTAGTGCGGCTCAGGGTTCGACTACTGGAGTTTATTTACCCAGGCCAGCGATTAGAGCCGAGGAGTGAAACACAAAACTTCAGCAAGACAGGCTGTCTGAAGCTTTTCGAAAGGCATGCTGCAAAAGGAAACGCGAAGCTTACCAAACGTGATGCCGATGTTTGACCTGCCACTTTGCCGTGAAAATCCAGAAACGTCCGAAGCACCCCAAGCCAGATGGAGCATCCAAACCGTTTTTCTGGAATCCAAGAAGCCCCTCATGAAAGGGAATTCCACTATCCTGTTACCACTTTGTTATGGATGTACCCCGTTCGAGAGGGGGCACCCAAACAGACAACATCCAGGCTGTTTTCTGGAACACCCCACCGCCTGGGTGGAGTTCCCCTTATAGCTTCAATTGTTGGATTGGCCGACTAGCAACATGAGAACGGAACCTCGGATGGAGCCCCCTGCCTCCAGGGCAAGGATGGAGACCGACGCGCGCTGCACTTCCAGCTGCAGCGCTTGCAGGCTGATGAGTTTTGAACCGGGGAGCAAGCAGTCCTTGGGGTAGGGGTGTTGGTGTTTCAATGGCTTTTCGTTGGTTGTGGCTGCTGGAGAGTTGTGTCGCTTGGATTAGATGTTATGTTTTATTGTGCGGTGTTTTGCCTTGTTGTAGGCCAACGCTGTCTTTTGCGGTTATGTTGAAGCAGATGCAAATTCAATGTTGTGCGCGAACACATTCAATACACACCATGCCTTTGAAGCAACACCAGAATGCATATCCAGGCATATGCGGGCAGCTCCGAAGCACGCGATCTGAATTGCTGTTGCAGCAGCGTTGGAAGAACCTTAGCCACCCTTGAACTTAAACAAGTTATCGGGAGTCTATTGCTGATGTGGCGAGAACATGGAAGGGGCCCATTGGACAAACGCAGCCAACCGTGGCGTTCAGCGAGTTGCCAGCCCCACACGACCTGGAACCGTACAGACAGCTCAAGCCCAATCTTATGACTGGACATCTTCCAGGGAGAGGCTACGAGCCTCTAAAGGGATTGTCAAAATTTACAAGGGTCGAAGATATCTCAAGGGTTTCCCTTAGTTTCCCGGTGCTGGAACTTCGAGCCAGAAGGTGCCTTAACGGCTAGGGTCGTCTCGGTCAGGCGGCCTTTGCCTTTGGCGTTGCGTCCTGCCCCAAGCCGGAGCCACCGCCGGCGGGGGCCCCAGCGCCTTTCGCAGCGAGCGGAGCGAGCACCCAGGGGAGCTTAAGCCATTAGGATGCGGGTTAGTTAGCCATTCGGATGCATTGCCAAGATTTGGAATCGCAGTCCACACATTTCGTAGGGCCAACCACCAGCCGCTCCAGCCGCTCCGCCTCCCCTGTCCCAGTCCAAAGCTGCGGAAGCGGCCCCGGAGCCGGAGCCGGCGGCCCCCGAGCCGGCGGCGGAGGAGGACGGCGCCATGGCGGCGCTGATGCGGCTGCAGACGCCCGGCGATTTTTGTCTCGGGCTCGTGGGATTGATAGACGGGGTTCAGTTACCAGTAGAATAACGGGGTTCATACAACCGCCATTCTTGACCTAAGGATTGTCATCATCCAATTTGGGTCCTTGCCATTCTTTTATGGGGGTTGAACCTTAGTTCTAGACAGATGGGGTGGTGGACGGGAGCTCCACCTTTTGGGAGGTTGGAGCTGACGTACGAGAGCAATGGTCTTGTTCAATTGTTTGCTCGGGCTGCGCGTGTGTGAAGCGACTTTTGCCTGGAGTTGCGCTTAGCCCTCATTGTTCTGAGTCACTTTCCAGGTTTCGACATCAGCCGCAGATATGAAGCTTTGATCCGAAGGTTTGGGGTGGCCCTGGTAGCTGTAGTGGTTCCAGCAGAAGTTCTGAAGTTTGGGCTTCTTCCAGGAAGACTCCTTGCTGTTTTTGTTTTTTTTGTGGCATGCCGTTCCGCTGCCTAGGAACCGCAAGAAGAAGGAGGAGGAGCCGCCTCCGGAGCCGGCGCCGGACGCCGCGGAGCCCGCGGCGCCCGCGGAGGCGGAGGCGGAGGCGGAAGCGCCGGCGGAGGCGGAGGCAGAGCCAGCGCCAGACCCGCGGGAGGCGTTCCAAGCGGAGCTTGGCCTCGAATTTAGTCAAATGCAGTGGATCCAAGTCAGCAGTAAACAACCAGCCTGGTGTTTGAAGGCTGGTGCTTCTTACATGGCCCATTTGGGAGGGACGTGGGGCGACTCACTGAAGCTTGTCTGGGGCTCCAACGCTTGAGACATTCAGGAGACACACACACGTTGCCCGACGTCCCTTACGGACAACATGTATTTTGCCCCAAAAATGAACAAGGGACAATAATACTGATACTGGGTGTCAATGCACTAGGCGACTGCTGTTGATTCCTATTTGGTAATCAGTTGGAGAAGGGAATTGGAGTACTGAGTGGGGCTCGAGAGACTAGGAGGCAATTATCATCAAATCACAACTTGGGTAAGGTTTCAAGCGGGGCTCAGGCCAGACCATCGGAAGCTAAGGACGCCTAGAAGTGGACCAAGTTTGTAGAAGTTTGGTGCCTAGGTGGTGAGTTTCCACCTTTTGGGACCCCAGACTATGTGTAAATTCCGCCCTGGAGCCCAAAATAGGTGAACTTTGACTTACCTCTTAAAACCACAACTTTTAAACTTTTTGGGGGTAACATGGGCTATATGTCGTAAAAAGATTAACTTCCCCAATTGGAGTTTTAAGGGATGAACTTTGACTCCACCCGTACCAAGGAGGTGCCGTGCTGGGCCGAGCTGGAGCGGCGCTTGAAGCACATGGGCTCCCAGCTCCGCGCCTCAGGCGGGCGCTTGGAATGTGAATTTCAGTAGACCAGAGCTCTGGTGGACATCAGTCAGGTGGGTGAACCATGGAGGGGGGGAGGGGGAAGTTCTAGTATGGTTTCTGTGTTCCTGAAAAAACAACTCGTAGCCGAATGGACAATTTCTAGTTTTCTGCAGAGAGAACTGGAATGGTGCCAAATGGGGCGACTGTGTCCTTGTTCACGTTCCGTTCATTGGCCAGGCTCTGTCGTTCTTTTGCCAAACAGCAACCCTACGGAACGCCCCAGTCTTATGGCTTGGTGCTCAACATACCAGCCAAACTGGACCACCTGCAAGTTGACATGGGCCCTGCCAACACCCGCACCCCAAAAGCAATGTATACACGGGGGAGGGGGATACCTCCAAGGAAGGTCCTCACCTTTTGGCCCATGGGAGAAAGAAATGGCTCAAAGTGCGAGTGTTGAAAACATTTGACATGATGTGTTTTAGGCATGTTCAAGCGTGGGATGTGTGCTGTGATGTGTCCTTTCATTTGCCTAAGGATATTGTGCTATTTCCCCTGTTTGTTTTAAGGGAATCTATCACTACTGGACATATGTTTGTTTTATTTATTCAACTATGTTGTTTTTGGTTTTCCAGGGGCTTCTGCAAATGCAGATGATGTGCTACCAAGAGACTGCCACCACCACCCCGAAACCCCAAGTTGCTAATTCAAGTTTTAAACATGCACAGAAAAAGAACAACGCATTTGTTGTTGGCTTGAACGACAGGCCATTGTGTTCTTACAATCAGTTTGGGGTCTACGCTGGTATATTTTGAGCAACAAATCACCAGCAGCTGTCTCGTTAGGCGCCACCAACCTGTCGGTCCCAGAGGAGCTGCTGCGAATGGGCAAGGCCATGGAGGCGCCGATTGGAAAGTCTCGCCTCGAAAAGTGAGCGGGGCGGTTTGCCTCAAAGAGGTGGGAGCCTCAAAGAGAGGTCCACCCCAAAGATTTCTTTTGTTTTCTATCCTTGGTGTGTTTAAGATGTCCACCAAAAAAATGGATTTCGTTCTAAGATGTCCATGTTGATCTAAGAAGATATATTTTTTGGGTGGAAGCTTTTTCGAACGTTGGCAGGGTGCATTGGCGGAATCCAAGAAGCTAGCAGTTGCACGGAATTCAATGAGCAATTGCCCGCCAACATGTGCAAACCCCAGTTTTTGGCGCGTGTTTCGCTTGTGATGTTTCTGTGAGTGGCTGGTTTTGAAAATCCAGGGGCTCCCTCGAACGGATTGCAAGTGACAAGCCACGGATGTCCCACTCGTCTCCACACAAAAGCTGACCTGATTAAACTTCAACCGTTTGTTTGTTTGTTTGTTTGTTTGTTGGCATTGTTTGTTGACGTTGTGTGTTGCCTTATTGCTGGCCTTGCTAGTTGGTCCTTGGTGGGTGGGACCAACCTTTGTCAAACTCCACTACAGATCAGTTGCCCTCGGGCTGACTTGTTGATCCAGCTTTTTGCAAGCCACTTGGGTTGTTTGAGCGAAGAGTCCTGCTGTGATGCTTGGATACTGCCTGTGAAGCTGCGCCTACCTGGTCGAACTCCCTGGGAAATTGGGGGGGAAAAGCACTGACATTTGGTGTAAAGTTTGCTAACACTCTTCTTGGTCCGGATGTTGAGCTTATGGCCAGATAGACGGGCGATAGCTTCTGATCCAACTTGAAGCTGCTCTTCTGGGCCAAGAGAGATGCCTGTTCCAGCCTTTGTGGTGACGTTTTTTGGTCAGTTGAACACGGGAAATAAGTGCCAGCTTTGCTTCTCGTCTTCCAAGTCTGCTAGGTGTCGTCTTGGCTTAACCATGCAGATCTAGCCACCGCCCAAGCTCTTGTCACGGCGAGAACGCCGCGGTAAGGTTCCGGTGTCCAAGGCCACGTTTGGGTTTATTTGACTTTTACCAGGCCTTTAAGGAGCATAAATTTCTCTGCTTGTGACCAGATTCGCTTGTGCTCCCGGCGCTGATTGGCCTCGTGGAGCTGAGCCGCAGATGTATCCTGTCGAGCACTTCCCTTAAAGGCAAAGAAAGCCCCCCCCATTCCCTAGGTCACCTGTCAACAAGATGGGTTTAGTTTGGGACCCTGGATTCGTTGTTGGATATGGTGGCCATTTCAACAGGCATGCTCCAAACCTCAAAATGACAAAATCACAAGGATACACTTGTTGTCAGTCCTGTTGTTGTTTTTGTGCGACCAACGTTCCACCCTCTGACGATATTAGCTTTTCGGGCGCCGAAGGGGTCCACCAATAGGGTCGCCGCGAAAATGTGACAACGGGGAGGTCGGCCTGAACCGAAGCACCACCGGCGGGGAGAAGGAGAGTCGCAGATCGAGCCAAGGGTTGATCGAAAAATGCAGATCGCGGATCGAAGAATGCACACAATATGCCTACTTTGCACAGGGGGACACCCTCAAAACTGGTTGGAGGGCATAAATCCCGAGGTAAATGATGTCCCAGGGGGTCCCCAATTCAAGACCAGGTCCATGTAAGAAAGCGGGGCAATTCTTTAAAAGTAAGCCACCCCGTTCGAACCGCACTTTTTTGTACCAGAGTGTCAAATGCTTTGATAGCCCAGGACCTCTCTTGGCAGCTGCGTATGTGGCCTCATGTAGCAGTTGACAAGTTCAGTTGAGCCCAACTTACTCGGCAAGAAGAGCCTAAGGTGATGTTGCTGATGATGATGATGATCATGATGCGATGCCTCTGTTTGTTGACTATACACATTGTGGGGTCTAGTTGCAAGGCAAACTGCGCGTTTGCAGCTCCATCTTGAGACAAACCTGGCCCTGCATGCACATTGGAAGATATGACATTGGCAAAGACCTTAGGAAACATGACCTTGTCATCATGGAAATCCAGGTTTGATTGTAGTGCTGCTTGGAAACACAACATGTTGGGCCCGATCCGTCATAGTTGATGCACCAGGGCGCGAGACGGCCTGAGTGATCCAAAATTACAATTCCCTTGGTACAGCAATTGGGCTGCTTCCTGGTTAGCCGACTTGACCTGCCGCTTGGTCTTCAACAAATGTTCAAGCGTAGGCATGACAAGAGAAGTACAGTACAAACGCAAAGGTGCAATAGCCGGGAAAGTCTGAACTGCTCCTGCAAAACACGTGTAGCTTCATTCCACGTAAAGTGCATCAACACTTTAAGGTCCTCTAATTCATTTTAGCCACGGCGGCCCTGGATCCAAGGGCCTAGCCACATACCCCTGGCCCCTGCCAACCACCAAGGTCATATTTGCCAGGGCATACCAAGGAAATACTAGGGATACCTGGAAATACCTAGGCTTCTGAAGGGTGCCCAGGCGTAAGGGTACCGAAACGTACATTGGACCGCTCGACTCAGGAGCCGCAGAGTCTGTGGCAGGCGCTGAAGGAGAGCGCAGAGCCGCTGCAGAAGTTCCTCAGCGTCCTGGAGGCGGCTGGTTCTCGCCAGACCTGTGAGTCGGAAGTCTCCAGGGCGGTTTTCCTGTTGGCTTCGCTTGAAAGCCCGATTTGGGCAATAGCCCGGGTAGATGAAGGGACTGTCCCAGCTGGAAGTAGGTTCGGCGGCCCTCTTTATGATTTTTATTGTTTTTGCGCAGACCACTTTAGTACCAAGTTTTGATCACGACTCGAACCTAAAAAAGGCGTCAAAAGTATTTGTCGCTTCTCTGCAAGTTGACGAACCCATCGGGGTGGGGGGATCCCTGTATCTTACTATATTGCCTCTTCGAGGTGTTTTGACAGCGGCGCACAAATAGCATATTGCCCACGGCCCCCCAGAAGCTTCCCAGATAGATCACGCACTGATTTGTGGAGCTGCTGAGGAGGGGGTGGGCCGAAACAAACCACAGTCAAACGGCCGCGGGTGCTCCAGGACCAACGCATGAGTTTGGTAGCATGGATTTGTTTGCGGGGGTTCATGCCAGTCTACCTTTCGGAATTGTAACTACCCACATTGAAGTCTCGCAACTTCCAGGGCACGACAACATCATGGACCTTTCGCTTCGCATACACCTTCCTCCAACCTCGTAAGATGGTGGAATGGACACCTATGGATAGAGGTTTCGGCAGAAAGCCAAACATGAAACACCATGAAGCGTGGGACAGTCTTGATACATTGCAGTTGTAGTTGTGGCTTGGCTGTTTGAGCATGTATGTGTGTTGCTTGCATTTTGGAGTGTTTGTGTTTGTGCTGTTTGTGCTCGTGCTCTCTCGTATTGCAATGTTGTGTTTGTTGATTGGATGTGTTGGCTCTGACTCTGACAATCTCTGACATGCCTGCGCCTGTTGTTTGTCAGCCACAAGTCGTGCCATGTTTGACAGCCAACCCCTGTCCTTGTCTTCAAAACCAACACCAACAGCCACATGGGAACACGGCCATGCGTGGGTGTGGGGTGAGCCGCCGGCCGAGCCCAGCCGCTGCCAGCCACTGGATTTTTTCGAGTTGCCCCAGCAGTGCTCATTGCGGGGCATGCTGTTTGGTGTGGGTCCAGTGACAATGGTAAGCAACAATCCACTGAGTAAACCCGAGAAGCGAGCAAGATAGAATTTCCCGAGGAGGTGCAAAGCCCAACGTGCGAGCGCGCGTTGCGAGCGATTACAAGCGTGAGCAGAAGTCATCGGTTTGTTGTGCAAGACGCTTGAGCACATTGCGGGCCTGCCCCATGAAACAGGCCACATGCAAGGGTCCACCCAGACAGTGGCCTTTTTGTTTGCTCTATGCTGCCGAATCATATCCTGGGTCGGCATGCATTTAGGCGGCATGTCAATAGGGGGCTCCCCATGATCCTCATGACCGCAGTCAACTTAAGTGGTGAAACCAGAAAGCCAGCACAAAGCCAAAAGCCTGAGCGGTGGCAAAAGTGGGGCAAGCCACTCGGGTGTTTGAAATTTGAGACAAATCAGCCGCTGGGCAATCACGGAGTTTTGACGCGAGTTTGCAGATATGCTCCCGCCCAGACTCGTGCAGAGCTGCAGGGCAAGGGCACCGCCGGGCTCCAAGCGGAGTCTCCGGGTGGAAAACTCCATGAAAACTCCATGTTGTCAGTGGTGAATAGGAAAGGGGTTAATGGCTGGCAACAGGGTTCTCAGGGAGGTGGCCACACTTCTGGGTAATGCTAATCTGGTGGCTTCTTTCAAGTACTGGAGCCGGAGTCTAATCATGATTTCTTCCAGTGTGTCGGAGCAGTCTCATCATTTGTATGGAGTAAGGTTCACTACAACAATTGCCAGTTGAGCAGTTTGCTCACATGCTGGATTGAATTGATTTCCCTGTGGGATTGCTAGTTGCCCTAGCTTGCCCCTTTGCTTGCGCCAGCCCGGCACAGCAGAGTTGCGCAACTTCGGTTCGAGGATTGCCAAAAGCTGTCATCAGGGTGGACGTTACCCTTAGGAAAAGGGGCATGAATACGCACGCTAAATCCTTTCTTGGATTCTGAAATTCCGGCTGATTACCTTCTGAGTATGAATATGCATGCAGGTTTAGAGATGCCGTCATTTGAATATCCATTTGTATATTTGACGCACCTGAGGTTGTGTTTGGCCCCCCAAGACCGGCACACACGAGGTCTGCCAGAAGCCTACCATGGAAGCTATGGCAAAAAGTTCTGTCTTGGGACCATCCCATATCATATAACCTGTTCCTGGGTGTATCTAAGCAGCCTAAATGAGGGCGTGCTTCAAGAAGGAAATTGGTAAGACCCGCCCAAAGAGAATATCCATATCTTGCCAGTGGCCGGTTCCCCACACTTCCGGTTTCTTTTGAGTCAAGGGCATCCGCACCTGGTTGCTTCAACCAATTCAGAGACAAATGAAGAAGCGGTGAGACCTGAGAGATGGCATTTCACTATGAGGTCCAAGCTGGTTAGTCTGGAGGCTGTTGTCAGCCAGCAATGCCACGCAAACAGTCTGCTAAAAGTGGCGACAAGGAGTTCAAGATGCATTTGAGCCAAATGTGATGTTGTGAATATCGCTCGCACCCAAATACTGTATTTTACTCAACCTAATACCTTGCCAGGTGGCACAGAAAGCGGAACAAGGCAAGCGATGCCTTTGGGTTGCCACATTAAATTGAGTTGTCTTCTGATAAGGCGATGCTCAAGAACATCAGGATTCCAACAAACCTTAATTGTAAAGGAGCTTCATTTTGGGATAGACTCCTTTCGTGGGCAAGCTAAGTAAATCTTCAAGAGAGTTTTAGAGGGAAGCATTGGTGGGTGTGTTCTTTTTCGGTCGCCCTGTTTGAGCTTGGTTTCACACCCCAAGGAAAGCCACCCGAGGTTCGTCCATGAGGATTGTTCACAAAGGGGAGGTTCTTCTTGCAGCCTTTTGCGACGATCATTGGTTCCATAAAGAATTGGAACCTTGAATTTGTGAGCTGACGATATACCAAGCACAGGTAGCAGCTTGAGATGAACCACCCAAAACCCATACATACCCAATAGCCTGCAAAACCGATTGGACATGGACGTAGCCGATGCTGTGGTAACAGCAAGAACGTTGCTCATCGGAGCTCCTTATATGGTTGTTTCCAGAAATTGCAATTGTTTGTGATGCACGATATTCACGTTTCAAAGGTCAACCAAAGGGACCGCATGGAAACCAACCAGATTGGAGAGTTCTCCCCCATTTTTGGAAGCACCCATATGGCTGTAGGTCAAAACCAATGGTACCATTTTGGGGTAGGTGCACCACCCATTGTAGAACCTACTTTAGTGGGGATTGGGATGTTCACTGGGGGTACGATTTGGATTTTGACCCATGGCCATGTGGTGAGGGGGGCACTCTGAAACTGGCCATAGCTCAGGAGCCCTTAACGCTCACGTCCACGCGCTTGAACGCTGCGCCTCGATGGGCGGTCACCAGCCTGCAGGCAACGGGAGGGTTGAATTTGTGCAACAGAGACACCCAGCGGGTTTGCGGCATAGTCATTGTCCAGTTTGCATTTTGTGTGTTGTTTCTTTCTTTCTTTCGTTCTTTCATTCGTCCTTTCTTTCTGTCTTTATTTCTTTAGTTCTTTCTGTGTTTAACTATTTCTTGTTTTTTGCCATGTTGCTTTCTTTGTGCTTGTCTTTGCAGTTGTGTTGCTTGTTTCTTTGTTTGTTTGTTTGTTTGCGTGTGCCCCTGCACCTGCGCCTGTGCACACACGCTTTTGCGTTTGCAATTGAGTGCAGGCGGGTTAGTGCGTGGGTGGGTGGATGCCACAACAGTGACGAAGTTTTGCAAGAGCTCCGACAGCTCTTCCACGCTGCTGCCCGAAACAGGCTTTCAACCATGTGATCGGCTGCAAGAAAGGGGAGAACGCGGACAGCGGCATTTCTGAGAGTTTGGGTGCCCACGGCCAAGTAGGTCTTTCACATATTTCACATTGTCAAATCCAGAGCTCGCAGTGTTGAATTGCCATTCCCACTTTTGCAGGGAGAGCGAAGGCGCTTTTGCACGCAGCGCCTGACCAAGTAGTTACGTAGTTGGCCCACGGCTCATACCTTCATGAAGTCTACACACACACACAGATCTTCAAAAGCTTTTTTGGGGGGCGAACTGGCCACCTAGCCTTGTTGTCTCACAACGCTCTCCACGAGAAAGAGTTGTAGGCGGACCGGATTTGCGAGTATGCTCCTTTAATGTGACACGGCGGGTGCAAATCGTGAACCACATTGCTTTTCAATGTACATTCCGTGACGTGATTTCCCTTAGATGCCTTGCACGTTGCTCAAGGCAGATTGTGTCTCAGGCAAGAAAAACGGAAGGCTGTCAAGCTAAGAAGCTGAAAAGTCTCGTCGACTTTGGGGCTCCGCCCAGCCAGCAGAAATAAAACACCAGCTGATCATCATTCGAGGCTGCGCCGTTCAAATGTTTTTGGCCGCCGCTGGGAACCCCCCATCTGCCCCTTCCAGTGTTTTCTGCACAAACGTGGCGCGCCGGGCTCTGCAGCTGTGGGGCAAAGCCGGCAGGATCAGCAGAAAATTTGGAAGCCGACGGCTTTCCTTGCGCCACCCCACATGGTCCCAGTGCAGCACCTCTAGTCGAGCGTCCCGGGATCTGCCAGGCAAACGCTGAGTAGAATTGTCACAGGCCATTCCATCAAAGCGCTCGTAAAGCGTCAGGCAGCATTTGCAAATCCAATATTTGAAGAATATCGGGAAATGCTCCTGGTTTCACATGTTGCAACAAACAGATTTGGGAACGCGCCAAGAACTGGCATGTGTTCACTGGAAACTCTTGCCCAGTTGGTCATCCAACCGTTTCCCAAGCCTGCGCAAAGGCTTTTAAGAATTGTTTTCCATTCAGTCAATAATCACAGGTGACCACCCAAAGATTGACGGGTGAAAGGTTATTGAAAGGGTATGAAGGTGTCATGTGCTCAGGCCTGAGCATGCCGGCAATATGGTGGTCAATTGGGTCTTGAGAATTAGTTAAGAAGGAGCTCCGGTGACGAGACACCACCACTCTTTTCTTAG